GCAGACAACTTGCAGCACCGTTTGCAGAATGGGACTTTTGGCGGGCTCAGCAGGGCAGAGACAGCCTGGACAATTCCTATTGGCTTTTGAAAGCCAATAGAATTAACTCTATTCAAGAGAATCTATTCTATTGGCTTTCAAAAGCCAATAGAATAAAAGGGAGTAGCACAGCTAAGGAAAAGGGGAAAAAAATGGCGGACTGCGTTGTTTGGCGACCCCCGTGAAATGGTCGTTCGACCCCAAATGGGGTCGCGACCCACAGGTTGAGAACCACTGCTATAGACGTTGTTAATGTCTATGTGTCTATTGATGACTGATTTGTCAGAGTGCCAGGCTTCTAGAAATTCCCTGGCAATTTTGGATTTGGCTTGGTCTAGGATTGTCACATTTTCCCAATTGAAACTATGATTAAATCTGACCATATATTGTGAAATTAAAGAATTTTGGTCTTGGCTTTTGACTGCCAGTTGGTGTTCATGGATACGTTCTGCCAGTCTTCTACCTGTTTGTCCTACATAGTGGTTGTTGCCGTTCTTACATTGTATGTTGTAGATGACTCCTGTTTTTTTCTTCTGGGGTTGCTGGGTCTTTTGGTTTGCTTAGGATGTTTTGAAGGGCTTTGGTTGGCTTGTGGGCTGTGCTGATTCCATGTGGTTGTAGTAGTCTGTTGGCGGTTTCTAAGATATTCTTGACGTATGGCAATGTAATTCTTTTTAGGGTTTGTGTTGGTTGTGCTGTATTGGGTTGAGTGGTCAAGGCCTTTTTGATGAAGTTGCCTGGGTATTCATTTTGTTGGAATGTGTATAGATGCTCAATTTCCTTTTTTTGGCTGTTCTAGGTAGTTGCAGTGTGTTTGGGCTCATTTAAATAAAGTCCTTACACAGCTTCTTTTGTGAAAGTTTGGGTTGTTGTTTTGGTAGTGGAGCACCTGGTTAACATGGGTGGTTTTTCTGTAGACTTGTGTTTCTAGTTTGCCATTGTGGTCTCTGCTGATCAGGATGTCCAGGTAGAGTAGTGAGTTGTTTTCTTCTTCTCTAGTACACTGGATTCCTTTATAAATGTTATTGATGGTTCTGTAGATGTTCTCTAATTGGTCCTTTTTTATTATGGTGAAGATGTTGTCTACATATCTGATTCATATTTTCGGTTGTATCTGTGGAAGTGCTATGGCTTCTAGATGTTGCATAACGACCTCCGCTATAAGTCCTGAAAGTGGTGATCCCATAGGTGTCCCTTTAATTTGTTGGTAAATTTGGCCATCAGATTGGAGGTAATGTAGTTAAGCAGAGATTTATGAGATCCATAATCCCGGGTGTTTTGATCTTCATGTACTCAATTGAGTCAGGTGTATTGTGAAGCAATGCAATCAAGGATTCTTTGGCTAATTCTGGATCAATAGATGTGAATATGGCTGTGACATCAAATAAGACCATGATTTCGTCCTCATCTATAGTCACATCCCTGATAGTTTGAAAACACTGTAGTGGAGAGTTAATGGAGTGTTGACTTCCTCTTGTGAGATAACCACACTTTTTTGTTAGTTCTTTTGCAATGTTGTATGTAGGGGTCCCTGATAGAGATATGATTGGACGGAAGGGTATGCCAGGTTTGTGTATTTTATTTATTTAAATGAACCCAAACACACTGCAGCAACCCAGAAAGCAGAAAATGGAAATGGAGCATCTATACAATTATTCCAACAAAATGAATATCCATGCAACTTCATCAAAAAGTCCTTGACCAGTTAACCCAATACAGCACAACCAACACAAACCCTAAAAAGAATTACATTGCCATACGTCAAGAATATCTTAGAAATCACCAACAGACTACTACAACCACATGGAATCAGCATAGCCCACAAGCCAACTGAAGCCTTTCAAAACATCCTAAGGAAACCAAAAGACCCAGGAACCCCAGAAGAAAAAAACAGGAGTCATCTACAACATACAATGTAAGAATGGCAACAACCACTATGTAGGACAAACAGGTAGAAGACTGGCAAAACATATCCATGAACACCAACTGGCAGTCAAAAGCCAAGACCAAAATTCTTTAATTTCACAATATATGGAGAGATTTAACCATAGTTTCAATTGGGAAAATGTGACAATCCTAGACCAAGCCAAATCCAAAAATGCCAGGGAATTTCTAGAAGCCTGGCACTCTGACAAATCAGTCATCAATAGACACATAGACATTAACAACATCTATAGACTATGCAAAAGAGACAACTAGCCCAAAAGAGAAAAAGACTCCAGCACTTCTCCATCAGTAACCAGCACTCAGATCAGCATAGATTAGCTCCAAAGTCAATTTCAGACCAACAATCAAGTAAACAATACTCCAGTCAAAGAGCCAAAGAGCCATTAGGAAGCAGCCCAACCAAAGAATCCCTAGGAACACCCTCCCCACACACATAGGCAAGGCACTAGAACAGGGCTTTTCAATCCATGGTACCCATACCACTGGTAGTACTTCGGTACCTGGCAGGTGGTACACGTATGATGGGTTGAAAAGCACTGTAAAAAAAAAAAAAGCTGATCACCACTTCTAGCACACCCGGAAAGAAAAGGAGGAGGAGGGTGGAGAGAACAGAGGATATAAAAGGAGGAGGGGGGAGAGAACAGAGGATATAAAAGGAAGAGGGGGGAAAGAACAGAGGATATAAAAGGAGCAGTAAAACCGGTAATTTTTTCCTTTTTTTTAACGGTTTGTAAAGTTTTATTATAGAATAAAATACAAAAATATAAAAGCAAATAGTAGGACACAATGGGGAGGAGAAAGGGAAAGAAAAGTGAGGGAGAGAAGGGAAAAAGAAAAGAAAAGGCATTGATTTCCAACTTCCTCTGTTGTAGCAGAATGAAGCATTAACATCGAACCTCAACTTTTTTACTTTTCCATAATAGTATAAACTAACCATTTCTATAACAACAAATCAATCTAATCAGTAAAACCCAAAATTCCCCCCCCCCTTTTTTTAGTCATCAAGTTTTTGACACCTTGCTAAGCAGGGCGGTACTCGAATATTGTCATGTCCTAAAAGTGGTACAATCAGTGAAAAGGTTGAAAAGCCCTGCACTAGAATATACATTGACAGCAAACCACACTCCTTACTAGCACTGATGATGTTACCTAGTTAGGATAATGAAATGTCTGCAAGAAAACAAGCGAGCTCAGAGAGCACCAAGGAACCCTCACTTTAGCTTCTTCATTTTCTATTACTTTGTCTATTTTGTGGCCCCACCACAGTTTTGGCTTTCAGGCAAGTGTTATTTCTTGCAGGTATTCAAATACACCATTCTTATTACTTCATTATCCCATTGTTTGTAAACCGTCTGTTGTTGCTGTTATTATGGTTGGCCACATATTTTTTTAATATAATAATTATTAATCATTATTATTATATGATTAATCTCCAATTAGATTCACAAAGATGGTAAAAATCTAATAATTCAAGACCCAACCAAGGACCTAAGAATTATTATTATTAGCAGATTATTGTTATAGGCAGTTCCAAGCAGGGTATTTTTTTTTTGTAAAATTAAGGTGTTCAGGTCCAAATAAGGATTATTATTGTTTGTTACATAGTCAGCCAGATGTTGAGACTGGATTTGGCATTTTTATCCACCTACTGAGTCCTTCCCAAAGACCTGGGATAGGCAGATATTGATGTTTGGTGGTGTTAGAGATATTGTTGCAGGATGTGCGAGATTCAAAGTAAAGCCACTTTTTGCAATTGACTGATGGTGAATTTGTCAATGCTGATGGTGTTCAAGTGGTGCTTCAGTTTTTTTGAGATTATTATGGTTCATCACATAGCCAGATATTCAGACTGGATTTGGCATTTTTATCAACCTATCAAGTCCTTCCCAAGGATCGTGCCCTTTACCCTTGCAGCAATGTTGACAGGCTCTAGCTACCAAGGAAAATAGGTGAGGTTATTAATATTATGGTTCATCACACAGTCAGCCAAATGGTTAGACCAGATCTGGCATTTTTATCCACCTGTTGTGTCTTTCCCAAAGACCTGGTATTATTATTTCCTGCCTATTACATATTTTATCCTGCTTTTATTTTTTTATATAGAGTATATAAGGAGAGGCATTATCTATACCATACATCCAAATTATCTAACAACCTATAAAACCAGATACTATCTGGAAAATGTCACTCAAACATTTAATTCCTACAAATTAGTTTAATTTTGAACAAATACGTAAGTGGATTTGGATCATGATTTCAATTCAGCTGCCAGAACTTTCTGTGAAGAGAGACCCATTCATGGAGTAGTCCTTCTAATAGTAGCAAGGGATGTGAGTTTTCCTGTTTCCCCTTTCTTATAGTGCTTGAAAGTTTTACTCCTGAGTGTTCTTGCAGAGAAAGGCTGCAAGAGAAAAGTAATTTCTACCAACATTAGAATTACAAGCCCTTTTTCTGAACATGGAAGTAAATTCATGTCTAGGCATTGATTTTAATAGGTAGCATAATCATTTTAATGTCTAAGACTCTGAATGTGAATTTTTTTTTTTATCCTATGCAATGCCATTATTTTGATTTTTCTAACTCTAGCCCTTTTGACTCCATGTTTCAGTGGTGGAACACCTAAAGTCCCATTTAATGGTTACTAATTCGCCAGTGTCTTTATTTCTGTATTACACCATTTAGAACACGGATAGAGAATATGGAATAAATGATTTGGATATTCAATAAATGGTTTCTTAATGACATTTATTTACATAAAATAAACATTTATCTTGAGGATTTTAATATTCCTGTGCTTCAGGCTATGCTGCCAGTTAAGAGAAATCTTATTGTTCAACACTCCTTTCATTGCAGGCCCAGCATTAACACTTTCAATTGTGCAATAGCTCTAATCTTTGTATGATAATCATAATGGCGTTACAGTAATTGCGCCTTAGAAACATATTAGGACTGTAGGAAACTGGGGTTATGAAGAAGATCTGTTCACTGCTTCTCTTTTTGTCTTTCTCTGTCAGCGGATCCAGTGGTACAGATCGAAGGCAATCCACACTGTTGCTTCTTCAACTTCAGCCCCAAAATTATGTTCACCAAGGTAGTAAAGGCACAGCTTTGGGTGTACCTACGGCCTGTTCAACACACATCCACAGTTTATCTACAGATCCTGCGTCTTAAGCCTGTAACAGAGGATGGGAGCCGACACATCCGTATCCGCTCACTCAAGATTGACCTGAATTCACGCATTGGCCACTGGCAGAGCATTGATTTCAAGCACGTGCTCCAGAACTGGTTCAAGCAGCCTCAGAACAACTGGGGTATTGAGATCAACGCTTTTGATCCCAATGGCAATGACCTGGCTGTGACTTCTCTTGGGCCTGGTGCTGAAGGCCTGGTGGGTAAATGAGAACACTTGCTATCCTCTTCTTTCTTGACCCTAGCACTGAAAATAGAGCAGAAGGCCCATGAACTAGTCTGATTGCCTACTGAGCTCCTCTCTGTCAACATTCTTCAGCCGTTGCAATGGGCTGTGAGAATAACTTTGGGGCACAGGAGGAAGAGCTGCAGTCTAGACAACAATCTGATAAACAAAATCTGAGTCCAAAGATGGGACGTGGGTGGAGAAAGTATCTTAGGAGGGACCCTCTCTAATTCTTTGGAAAGGGAGAAGTTCTTTCAGACTTGTGAGAGTCTGTTATTGTAACCTTATAATAAAAGTATTGTTAGGGCTTATGGTTATGGTTTCCTGTCTGGACTACCTTGAAGGGCTGATAGACATGATAGCTCTGGCCTAGTTTTAACATTAGGGTATGTAGTACTGTTGGGGTGTTCTCTAGAGCAGACATGTCAAACTTGCGACGTCACATGACGTCGCGCAATGTATTGGGACGGTTTCACCATTGCCGGCAATGGGGTGGGTGCAGCTTCTGGATGACGTGTATGGCCCGCGGGCTGGCCGTTTGACACCCCTGGGCTAGAGAATGCTATCTTTCAGAATCAATATTATCACTGAATAATGTAATAATCAAATGCAGTCAAATGCAGATTGGAAAATAGGAAGTATTTTCCTTGTATCTGTTTCATCTCAACAGTCGGCTTATGGTATAGTCAGGGGAAGACTTAAGGGGACTACCTGTGTGGTCAGTTGGAGACTGCAGTGCTACTACTTGGAGAAGGCGTTTACATATCAGTCATGACATTGCAAAGTCATTGTGCTGGTTGTAATTTGTGATTTTTGCTTGATAATAACAATATCGGTATTCTCACAATATTCATATTACAGGAACATGCATTAATTTAGATGAAACTTTTATTGCTTTCAAATACAGGATGAAGATAAATTTATATCCGCTTAATATTATCTACATAGAAAAATGAGAACAATTTAATTTTAGTTTGTGCTAATTAGAGCTCTTAACAATGAAAAATCCTTCTCAGGAATTCAAAATTTATCAGGGTATATTTTAAAGTAGTACTTTTATTACAATTAGCTCTCTTTTTATACAGAGAGATATTATATCATGCATTATTTAATGATTTAATTTAATCCTATCAAAGCTACATTTTTCAAAAAACATTTAGCAAATTACTTATATGAGTTCCATCTTAGTTTTCCTATATAAATGTCTTTTAAAAAAATTATCTTTCTTTTCTCATTCTGAATTATTTCCTTGGAACCTATCCTTTAATTATAATTACCTAATAATTCTGATAGCTTAACTAAGAATGACCCACATGTAAGTAATAAAATATATAAAAAACATTTCTCTTCCAGAGTACTATTCATCCATTATGTACAAACTGATCTTTTAGCCTGAATACTTTTTTCCCCCTAGCAGCAACTGATGGATCAATATTCCACTTTTTCATGGATTTTTTTTTCATAGTGGACCAACGTTTACTTAAGAAATATTTCACCATCAGGCTTAATGGTGTCAGCTCGAGTGTTTTTTTTTTTTAAAGGAGCAAAGCTCAGGACTGTTATTGGGAATAAATAACTGGAATAAATAACAACTGCTGTGGGCTCTCGGAAAAATTGGTCAAGAGATTGTACTGGATTTGGTAAGTCTGTGAAGGAGAATGTATATTCATAGTATTAGTTTACTTAAGAGATACAAAGGGATAGCAAAGGTTGCAGAGACGAAGTTGTGGATGAATTATGCGTAGATGGGCATGCAATTGATACCCATCAAAACTCTTGTCATGGGCTGTTTTCCACAGCTAGAAACTCTTATTTCATCATGGGGCCAATAGATATTTTACCTAAAGGCCTACCTCTGTGATTTCTCTTTTTGTATGTCATTTGCAGCACCCATTCATGGAACTGCGTGTGCTGGAGAACAACAAACGGTCCCGAAGGAATCTAGGCTTAGACTGTGATGAGCACTCAACTGAGTCCCGCTGCTGCCGTTATCCCCTGACTGTTGACTTTGAAGCCTTCGGCTGGGATTGGATAATTGCCCCAAAGCGGTACAAAGCCAACTATTGTTCAGGCCAGTGTGAATATATGTTCATGCAGAAATATCCCCATACCCACTTGGTACAGCAAGCCAATCCCCGGGGGTCAGCAGGGCCATGCTGTACACCCACCAAGATGTCTCCCATCAACATGCTGTATTTCAATGACAAACAGCAGATAATCTATGGCAAAATCCCTGGCATGGTGGTTGACAGGTGTGGATGCTCTTAAACCCCCGGCCTGTTCTGTTCCATTCTTTTTCCTGTCCCACCCATCCCTCCTCCCCGGATTCTTGCTTCGAAGATGCACCCTGACATTGATGAATCCATTCATTAGCATTTTAAAACACGTTTGAAGAGAAAGTAATTGTGGGAAAAGAACAAACTGAACAGAATTGCATTGAAAAATCTCTGAAGTGACAACATGCGCTGTGCAATAATCAAAACAGACATCGCATTAATGGAGAGTGGATGAGTTGCCTTGGATCGATACTTCCATCCCTGAGGCAGATCTGAAATAAGCATTCTTCTCTCCTCAAGCTCTTTGTTTGACCCAACACTTTTCAAGCTTTACTTTTACTGGCATTCTCTCTTCCCAACCCCAACCCCCTCTTCCTCTCTTGATCTGAGACATGAAAGTGGTGATAAAGTGAAAAGTCCATCAGAAAAAAAAGAGAAGCTGTTCAACCTGTTTACAAGAATGAAAGCTTCTTAGGTTGTGATAATGTGGAATAAAATGCTGTATGAAGTTATAGAATTAAATGGGGAACGGGGTTAAAATGGATATTTTATATGAAGATGAATGAAACCTGTCAGCACGAAGGATACGTGCCATCCTGGATTTGGGGGAAAGGGGGTGGGAGGGAAAATATGATTTAGAAGTTGAGGATTGCTGATCCTGCCTGCCTTTTGAGAGACTGAATCCCTAAAGACACTGGAGGCTCCAAAGAAATGAAAACTGGAATTATTTGGGATGCTTTTTGCGAGTTGCATGATAGCAAGAAAAAGTAATGAAATGGAGGCATAGATGGGGAGGGGGGGGTTATGGAGGAATTATCTAAGTGGAGGATAAACTGTTAATTTTAGCTGCCTTGTATTCACATTCAACTCTTTCTTTTCAATATCTTCATATATAACCTGAGCAATCTTTCTCCAAAAGTTATTATTCTTCAGCTTCTTCTCTTTTTTTTTTTAGAAAATTGAGAAACATTCAATGAATTTAAATTACATATTTTCATCCTCAACCCACTTTTGAGGTAGTGTAAAAAAGACCACAGAAACAGTATTGTCCATGTGAGGATAAAGAATTTCACCTACAGAACAGAAATCTCTCCAGGCAGGATGAAGTTAAGATAGAAAATTTATTTATTTATTCCTGGCAATAGAATCCTTTTTTTTCCTGTGTCACTTTTGCTTAATATTCCAATGGAAAAAAATCATATATATGGATGTATATATGATAGGATTAGTAATTTTTCTTTATCATTTGCAAGACTCAACTACATCCATCCAGTTACTCTGGTTATATACAATATTTTTTTTCCACTGGCTAATATTGACATATCAATCCTTGAATAATAGGATGTGTTGCTTTGTACTGTTTCTTTCCCCCCTTCCTAACATTTAAAACCTTTTTAAATTAATTTTAAATGCACTTATATAGAGATTTAATTTCCAGCTTTCTTTGAAGTTGTAGTATGACTTTCTTTCACCTAACCAAACAATACCATCCAATTCTACTTCTTTTTAAAGCAGAAAAATCCAGGTAACTTAAAGAGAATTAAATTAACAGGGAATGCTTTCCAAATAGAATTCTATTGAACTTGATGCCATAGATTATGTTAATTTAACTGAAGTGTTGCTGTTCTGTTTTCAAGAGTTTGTTAAAAGTAGACAGAAGATAATTATCTTTCAACTGGCAAAGCATTAGCCAAATAGTGAGAATACAGTAATTGTAAACTTCAGGTTTGAATAACTCAGATAGGATTCCAGACATAGAAGATAGAAGCTTTTTGTCAAAATCTCTAGCAAGACAATTGCATAGAATCAAGATAACAAATTGCATCTAAGCACTTGCTGTTTCCTACTATTAGGATTAATTACATGTCTCATGATCCTCAGAATTAAAGAAGAGGGGGAGGTAAAGGTTAAATATTATTAAGACTCTAATTATTTACGTTAGTGATAATCATGGAGTCAAAGTATCCAAAAGTGGTTTTTCCAGGCAACTGAGTAATGTTGCAACCTGGACCACAAATAAGTGATCCATTATTAGAGGTTCTAATCCAGCATGTGAACTGGAAAACAAAATGTTGCTGTTTGACAATGACCTGTGTCCAGTCATTCCCTGCTGATTCTCTATTTGCACAGGAAACAAAAGTTTAACAAGTTTGGCATAGGAAAAATCATTCCCCCCCCCAATTGTGGCTATCAGTAGCCAAATTATGAATGAACTACCAAAATATTATTCTCAAGATTGAAGCACTTTGGCAGAAGGGATGGCATATCTAACAGACTTTGTATTTTTTGGAAGGATCACTTTCTTTTCTTAAGTAGAAGTAAAAAAAATATAGGCAAAACAATGAATAGCAACTTTGCAATGAATCAGCGTTCCCTCTCCTGATTCATTGTCACATTTGGAATGTAGACCAATGCCTTTCTATTTGTGAGGTCAAAGTAAGGATTGTATTAATGCAAGACTTTGCTGTTGCAGTTTTCATAATATTTGTGCAATGAAATTGGAATGAAGACTTTGTAATTACTTAACTGAAAAAGGAAATATGCGACAGGCAAGTGAGAATTAAAGAGGCCTTTAGTCTTATGGCATCAAATTGGAAAAACACTGGGACTAGACTGCTCATACCGTTGTGGCGTCTTGATTTCCCTTTTGCTATTTTCCTGACATATAAAATCAGGATTCCTGTTTCTGCAGAGTTCAACTCTTCCTGCTGCTTTAGGGCTTGTTTCTCTACTTTCGGCTTGGGCTGTCTAGGGAGCTGCTGTGTTGTATGATGCAACCCTTCAGAAATGCCTGTCATAGGTCTGGAACCCAAGTGCTGAGGTGATGGACCGGAGGGGAGTCTGGCAGGTCTGGCGCCAAGAATTTAGTCAAGATTTTCAGCACAATTTTGAGCCAACCAACTTGCTTGCCAACACAACAGCCGCTCTGTTGTAGTCAAACAGCTAAAATATGCCCTTTGAATTTTTTCTGAAGTCTCTTCCACAGAAGTACTGGTTTTGGATAAGATGGGTATTAATAAATGGGGAAGAAGAGTCAACCGAGATTGACAGGAAGAAAGATTATTTTTCTAGTTCTAGCACTTATTATATATTAAGTTGAGGATCTCGGCACTCAGCTAGATTTCTATATAGACGACAACTTCGTTTCTTTTGTAGGCAAACTCATACAGCTTTGATTTCTCCCTTGAAAGTTCCAGAGTACTAAAGCAGCAAAGAAGGCATGGATGGATTTTTAATTAAGAATGTATAAGGTGAAATTCTGCCCACAAAAACCAGACTCCCACTTCTATTCTATTGATAGGGAGTTCAACGCTGCTCAAAGTTGAGCAGAATCTTAGCACTTCTCATGGGTTAAATCCTAAATCTTAAAAGAAGGGAACAGTCGCTTACCCAAGGTGGCACAGAGAACAGACTCTCCTGGCCCTTTCTGAGCTGTACTGCTTTTCCTCCTCTAGCACTTATAGACTGAAGCGCTTCACTCTTTTTCAAAGCACTCATCAAACATGCCTTCTCAGCTTCTTAACACTGACTAAGTTACCCCAACTTATTAAGCGCAGTGTAAATGAAATGGAGAACTTAAAGGAGTAGGGAATAACAGTTCTGCAACTGGTAGCTTATGAGGGCATTTAAAGCTGGAATACTTAAGTTTTCAATAGCTTAGAATCTTTTTTATTTTTTAAAAGATGGCTAATGGGGGGTGGGGGGTGGGTTTACATATCTTAGTATTTGTTACCTGCATTGATCATTGTTTAGTCTGCATTCTTGTCATTTATCAGGCCCATACAAAAATGTAGAGTCTTCTTGAGAAACAAAATTAAATAGTTTCCTTTGTCATGTGCTGCCAAATCCCCACATTTGAACTACCAGCAGTGTGAATGACATGTATATGACAGTTTTAACATTTTAGACAAAGGGAAAAAATGTGCATAAATCTTGAAATGTGAGATCTAAAAAAAATTGGATCCTAGCAATCTTTTATTATTTGTCTTGGTATTTTTCTGAATATGAATTCTGAATATTTGCTATTTAGTAATGTAGAATAATACTGATTTATTTTTCAATTCCTGTCCTCCTATTATTTTTTTTCCCATCTTTGTGAATGAACACAAAATCTGCAAATAACTGCTATTTCAACCCTCCTCTGGAGTATTATGCTGCACTGGGAATCTTAACTAACAATCCTGCAAACATATAAAATTCTCTCCATTTTAACTTCTTGTTTTGCAACATATAGTCCACCTTTCAGGTCTTATTCGACTTGGCATAGAAACAGGCAATTCAGAGAAAATGTGAGAGGGCTTTTCTCAATAAACATGTTTTATTAAGAGATCCTGTACTGCTTTCTCTCTGAATAGAACAAAGTTCATGTTGCGTAGCTTGTAATTCAGGTACTTATGGTGCTCTGTAAAGAATTAGTAGCAGAACAGAAAGTACTTTTTTTTTCTTCACTAAGTAATAATCCCTACATATACCCAGGCACAACTTTTCTCCTTTTAAGTCAATCCATAATAAAAAGATCATTATATGCTTAATTTTCTAAAAGTGATTGAAAATGTATATCTTACAAAAAAAACTTCTTTATAACTATCCACCCCAACAATTTGACAAATCAAACATTGCTGAATGTTTTTTTTTATTTAAATGTTTGTGTTGTGCACATATGTACATACTCTCTCTAAAAGGCTAGAAAACCTTATGTAGAAATGAAAAATGAATGAATTCCAAATCTTTATTCAGTCAAGCATTTTTCCTCTAATATTATATCAGCACTGTCATTCACAAAAGGTGCCTTTTGATATTTTACAGACAGGGCACATAGCACACACAATCTTGCATTTTGATCCCATGAAAACAACATTCTAGATTTCATATTTCCTGGCTGACGTTTGAAAGAGTGCAGATAGCATTTCCCGACCATGGATTTAAGTAGGTTTTTCTACAGTTGGAAAATAAGTATATGATGTGAATAGGAGGAATGTATCTGAGATTAATAATGCCCAGCTATGAAACTATTCACCTTAGAGTTATTCTGTACAAGCAGAACAAAGGGATAGGGCTGTGAGGAGTTCATTTCAAAATTGATAGGAATGCTGGAGTTCTTCTTCAGGAAATGAAACCAAAATTCTAGGAAAGGAATTTAACAACAGTAAAATTATGGGAATAGTAATGTGCAAATTTATTTGAGACAGGGAATTCATTAATCTACCTCTGTACCATTTGCTTGAGGGAAATTCTTCCTACTGTAGTAACTTTTCTTACTATCTAATATCTAGTAGGCCTTAGCTTCAACCATTCACCATGGCAAAGAACACCTCACCAAGAAGCCCAACAAAACACTCCTTCCTTAACCTTCTCTACATATCTTGTGGTGAGATAGGTGGCAAACGATTTAATAAATAAATTTAAAAAAATAAAATATTTGTTGATTCAAGAAGGTGCTGATTTGTAGCTATGGTTATCAGATTCTTAACTGTGTTCTTCTTTAAGACAGAGAGATGGCACAATGCCACATACATTAGTATGCACAAGTCCTTCCTTGCTAAAAACACAGAGGGCAGATATGCATGAGAGGGCTATTTTTTAATACCTGTAATTTCTTGTTGATTGCTTTGCTAAGCTGCAAGGATGGAGGACACACACACACACACAACCCAGTCCTGTGAAAACTGAGATAGCGATGATCAAACAGGACCTCTAACAGTAGGATTTACCGGTACAAATGAGTATTTTCCAATGTCCAATCAAGAAAAAGTTCTGCCCTATTTTGTTGGAGCCAGAGAAAAGAGGATGGATGTCCTGAACCACAACAACTAAAAAAATTACCTGAAAGAACTGAATTACAGTCTTAAGCCAATTTGTAGAAGTTAGTCACTTGGACTATTACAATTCTAAGTAGCTTATTAAATACCAAAACATTCCATTCTGTTAATCAGAGGGGACCGTTAAGAAAAGCATTGAAAGCAAAGGCTTTGCTTTGTCTTATAGGTAGCACTGTATTAAACTGTGTACTAAACGTGTTATGGCTAATGTGCATAATGATAGAGACAGAATATTCTACTTGAATTTTACATGCAAAGATACACATCATAACAGAGCAAATATAATTTGCTCTTTCGTCCATCTATTAGTATAATTTGTTACTGTCTCTTTTGTAATAGTCCAAAGCCATTTGGGATTTTTTTGAGATGTGCAAATTGATCCTTTGATACAAACCTTGTTATTTCAGTGGCACTTACTCTCAATAAGTGTGTTTAGGACTGTAGCCTTAAGAGGCAATGATGCAGCCTACACTATTGTATAAAAACAACTCTGTATCTGAAAGTTCATAATTTCCTGTTCGATGCTGACTAATATTTATGGGCCATGATAAATGTAACAGATTGAATAGCTGGGTAAGTCTTTCCTGAACTATGGATGCTTGCTTTCTGGGATTTGGGTGGTTTGATTCCCTGTTTCTTCTACTGCCCAATGGTGCTAAACTAGAAAGATAAGATCCAACTTAACTGCTACTAAATAGGTCTTTCCAATGGGATATTTTGCTTTGGGTAATCTGACTCACAAAAGGCAGACAGGCATAATTATTTCTGGAGGTGTGCTTGTAAATATCAGACCTACAAGTATATTATTATTTACTTTGTTTATATTAGTGTCCATAAATGTCATAGAAGGATGTGTGAGCATAAGTATTGTGTGAGTGGGTGCATATGCCTGTGTAGGTGAGCTGAAGAAATGAGACTGAAGATAACATGGGCTAAGTTTTGTTTATTTTAATCACATGACCAAAAGGCCATTCACTGGTTAAGATTGTGTTTATGTTTGTTTGTTTTAATGACATGACCAAACACAGCACTTGAACATCAAAAATAAAAATTTAAATATTAAAAAATATTAAAAAGAGTTCAGAGCTTTTCACTCCAGTCCAGCACCTGGGACATACATAGCTGTCATTTTAATCTTTCTAGGCAGAAGCTTATTGGTTGTGTTAAACAGAAGAGGCTGCCAACTGGGGAAAACTGAGATTTCAAGGGAAAACTGATTCTACGACAGCATATAGTAATTTTTGTTGGGAAAAGGTGCGAGGTGGTTTGGGGCCACGGCAGACATTATTCAACTGGGACTGTTGTACTTGATCAGTGAATTGATTCACACCTCTTCACCATCACCCTGACCTGCTGCCTTTTTCTACAAAATGGATGCTGCTTCACTTTGGAAGTAATAGGCAGTCCCATCAGAACATATGGAAGCCTCAGAGACTTTGCAGGAGTGAAGCAAAAAGGCTGGACTTAAAAATGTTGAATGTTCACTGTAAAAATTTCTGTTTTGAGAGACTGCTTTGGGCTAAGGTACCATTTGCACTATGGAAGGTTAAAGAAATTTTTAAGAGAAGAGGAGTTTTCCCTTTTATAATACACTCTAGAACTGAAGAGATACTTTTATGTCTGTGTTTTCTCTTTTTGTAAAGACAGTGTGTGAGGACTAGTATGTATGAATTTTGATTAGCTCCCTTTCTGCAGAAGGAAATTTGCTATGTAGTTCTGCAAACATAACAATCATATGTTTTACCTAACTTCCAAGTCAAAAAGTGTTTTGTTACCACTAAACTTAACTTTAATAGGATATATTTTAGTTCTCCACAGATTGCATTTAGGTAAATCATGCTATTACACTTTCTGAAAACCCTAAATAATTAAAGAAATCACCAGTTAATGTCGAGCTAGGCTTTGCTTCTGCTGGGTTGTCATGGATGAGAGACAAGACTATCAAATCATTAGTCTGGAAGAAAGGGCTAAAGCTGACGTTTACAATAACTAACGGCTCCTAAGTTATTAGGAAATCAGGAATAAAAAATGCACCCTTTTCCTTTTTTTGCAATGATACATTTAAAAAAAAAATTCAATATACATCCAGTACTTAGGACGCCTGAAACCTTTTGCACACTTCTTTTACCAACTCTGGTGTAATTTTAAGTTAAATTGGTTTATCTATGTGTTTCATCAAAAGAAGAGGGCTTCTCATTCATTGGTGTTGTAAGTTTTAAGTGATATGTTTAAAGTTTTAAAGAATTTGCAAATGAAGGAAATGATAAAGGCATAAGGATTATGTGGTTTGATACCAATTTATATTTTAAAAAAGCACCACAGTCTTATTAACCTCTTGCTGATATTTTGTTAAGTTACATTTTTTTTATGATTCCAACTTATTGTCACTGTTGAAAATCTATTTCTTAAATGATTTCATTGCATTTATAAAATGCACAAAATTCTTGATTTCTGTTAAAACTATGGCCTTAATTATGAAATTAATATGATAAATGTTATTCTAGAAAAACTGTTTTCCAGTTTAGCCAGAAAAAGTTCCCAACTATTATTCACTTAAAAAAAATATGCTAATTCTGCTCAATAGGGTTTATTGAGTATAAACATAGGAATTAAACTGAGATGGCACTCATTTATGAGAAGATGAGATCAGAACTGGTAACTCTTATTTCATATATATATATTAGAAAAAAAAATAGAAAAATACTGCCTTGGCTATTTCTCTTCAATGTTGTATAAACTAAATTTGTTCTGTAACTGGCTCTAGTCTGTTAAGTACATCATAATCATTGCTTCTGTTCCAATTTCTCTTTGTCCTTTTATAGATTTTTTTGTACAATAAATATATACAGCAAAAACATTTTCTTCCTTTAATGTGTCAAGTTTGGAATCTTGAGAATATATAACTTGATGTTCTTGGTTTTGAGTTTCCAATGTTAATGAAGAGATTGGCATGTTTATTTCAATGTGTAACTTAAGGCTTCAGTTCTACTGCTAGGAAGGAAAAAAAATGTGCTGGAATATAAATTGTTACTGGATGCTCTTAATCTCAAAACCATCTGGAACTACCCAATCATATTTCTTGAGAAGTGAAGATCATATTACAAAGGTATTGAGTTGCATATGATTAAATTAAATTTTAAGAGAATTTCAAAATCTTTATAATTCCAGTGATTTGGCTATTTTTATCTATGTCATTCTTTTCCACTGTAATATCATTCTTTTCTGTTTTAAACAGTTTAAGAATAGTGTTTCTTGACTTTCAAGATTCAACTTGCTATTCAAGCAAATCTAACGAACTAAAACTTGCCAGAGTTAGAAATAGGGATTAAAAAAAAAGATTCTTTCAAACCAATCTCAACTTCTAGTGATTACGTGGGGATATTTATGTAGCTTTCTCAGCAACAATTTGTAACTGTATTGATAAAGCATTTGGAATTTGGTATGGATTTTTCCTGGCCTAGCACTTACTTGGAGAGAGAGAGATTTAATTATTAGAAATAGAAATGGCATATATAAATTATTTCCTTTCACAGTAGTCAGGAATTTCTTGAAGTAGTCAGGGATCTCTTGAAACAATCTCTTTAAAAACAATACTTAGACTAGAAAATATTTTCTAACACCTCTCTTCTAAGAAATTAACAATATTTAAACTACTAGAATATATTCTAAAGTAGCTTCCAGTCCTGAAAACTATTCTTCCCATGTGTTTTTTCTAGGCTAAGGGTTAAAAACAAGGTTTTATCAATGTACTTTTTTTACATAATCGCTTTGTAAGAGAAAGGGCCTGGAATTAATGATAACATGTTTAAAATAAAACTTCACTAACATCTAAATATTTGAAAACCTTTGAAAAAATTCTCTAATTCCTTCTAACAATATTTCCTGGTTTATAAATAGTAAAATTATAAATACTAAAATGGATATTATCTATTTAAAATGTTTAGTCTTTAAAATTAACTGTTGTGAAGGAATTAATAATAATAACAGCCATTCCCTAGTATAAATGGATAATTGCCATGGCTGATAGGATTAAACGCAATATAGAAATACAGGTAGTCCTCAACTTATGACTACATTTGAGCCCAAAATTACCATTGCTAAGCAAGACAGTTAAATGAATTTTGCTCCATTTTACAATCTTCTTGCTACAATTTTAAGTGAATGACTGCATTTGTTAAGTTAATGACATGGTTGATAAGTGAATCTGGCTTTGCCACTGACTTTGCTTGTCAGGTCACAAAAGGTGATCATATGACCCCGGACAATGCAACTCTCATAAATACATATTATTCTTATTCTTAATACTAATACTACTACTAATAATAATGTTGGAAGGGACCTTGGAGGTCATCTAGTCCAACCCCCTCCTCAGGCAGGAAACCCTGTATCATTTCAGACAAATGGCTGTCCAGTCTCTTCTTAAAAACGTCCAGTGTTGGAGCATTCACATCTTCTAGAGCAGTGCTTCTCAACGTTTGTGTGACGGCGACCCCCGTCACACAAACGCGCCGCGCATGCGTGGGGCCGCCCCATGCGCGACGCGGCGCGGCACCCCCATGCGCGGCGCCCCCATGCGTGGTGCGCATGCGCGACGCTGCCCCCCGAGGAGGAAAAATGGCGGATCGCCTTGTTTGGCGACCCCCGAGAAATGGTCGATCAACCCCAAATGGGGTCGCGACCCATAGGTTGAGAACCGCTGTTGTAGAGGCAGGTTGTTCCGCTGATTAATTGTTCTGTCAGAAAATTTCTCCTTAGTTCTAGGTTGCTTCTCTCTTTGGTTAGTTTCCATCTGTTGTTTCTTGTCCTGCCTTCTGGTGCTTTGGAGAATAGTTTGACTCCCTCTTCTTTGTGGCAACCCCTGAGATACTGGAATATTGCTATCATGTCACCCCTTGTCCTTTTCTTCATTAAACTAGACATACCCAATTCCAGCCACCGTTCTTTGTATGTTTTAACCTCCAGTCCCCTAATCATCTTTGTTGCTCTTCTCTGTACTCTTTCTAGAGTCTTAACATCTTTTTTACATCGTGGTGACCAAAACTAGATGGAGTATTCCAAGTGTGGCCTTACCAATACCACCATTGTAAAGTGGTATTAACACTTCACATGATCTTGATTCTATCCCTCTGTTAATGCAGCCTAGCACTGTGTTGGTTTTTTTGCCAGCTGCAGCACACTGCTGGCTCATATTTAAGTGATTGTCCACTAGGACTCTGAGATCCCTCACAGTTACTACTATTGAGCAAGGTACCACCTATACTATATCTGTGCATTTGGCTTTTCTTGCCTAAATGTAGGACCTTACTTTTTTCACCGTTGAATTTCATTTAGATAGTGCCCAATGTTCAAGTCTGTCAAGTCCCTCCTGTATCCTAAGCCTGTCTTCTGGAGTGTTGGCTATTCCTGCCAGCTTGGTGTCGTCTGCAAATTTAATGAGTTCCCTATCTATCCCCTCATCCAAATCATTTATGAAGATGTTTAAAAGCACTGGGCACAGAACAGAGCCCTGGGGCACCCCACTACACACTTCCCTCCATGTAGATGCAGTTCCATTGAGGACCACATGCTGAGTATGGCCGGTCAGCCAGCTATGAATCCATCTGGTGGTGATGCTGTCTAACCCACATTTTTCTATCTTATCAACATGCCAGTTTCCAAGCATCTGAATTTTGATCATGTGGTCACGAGGATGCTGTGGAAAATAGTCATACGTCACTTTTTTCAGTGCTGGTGTAATTTCAAACATTCACTAAATGAATGGTTGTAAGTCAAGTACTTATTGTATACTTTATGTAAAGCCTGCAACTATATGTAAATTATTTTTGCTGGCTTCAGCAGGAAATACAATAATTATATTGCCTCTATTACTATTCATCTAAACAGTATGATTATTCTATTTATGAATTTTAAGAAAAAATGACATATGATTACCTTCTTTGACACAAACTGAAATATGGGCAAGAATATCTATCTATCTATCTATCTATCTATCTATCTATCTATCTATCTATCTATCTATCTATCTATCTATCTATCTATATTGTTCAATGATGCAATCTTCGATCTCCGGGAAGAGTATACTCCAGTTATACTGGAAGAGTATATTCTTCCCGGAGATCGAAGATTGCATCATTGAACAAATATGCCCGGGATTCGTATTTTTATAACCATTATATGGTTATAAAGAATTAAAGAATTAAATTGGGAGACTAAGATGGCCATCTTAGTCTCCCAATTTAATTCTTTAATTCTTTGTCAGAAAAAGAAATTTGGATTTGTAATGTTTCGCAGTTGCGACTTGAGCCTGCTTAACGCCCCTAGTTGGGGGCTGCAAGGCAAAAGAGATTGTAAAAAGTAAAACTGCAGTATAGCAGTTTAAAAAAAAATGTCAAGGTGTAATCAATTAGACATCTGTCTGAAAAACTTCCTGCATATATATATATATATATATATATATATATATATATATATATATATACACACACACACACACACACACACACACACACACACACACGCCACAGTATATTACATTAGAATATTAGTCTCATTTTAATTTCTTATCTCAACAACTTAAAAGTAATTATTATAATAATAAGGTATCTAGATGAGAAACTAACAAGTGAGCCAAGAATTATTAAGCCCAAGTTGTACACAGAGGTAAGATAGCACACATGAAAGTGCTTACTATTAATTTAATCTAGAGTTCAGCTAGTTTGGAAGAAAAAGATTTGGTGGGAGGGCAAAAAAACTCATAATATTTACAGATGTAGCTTGAAATAATAAATAGGCGCTTCAGGTACCAATATAATGCAAATTGAAAGATATTTAGTGTTAATTGGAAAACATTGTGAACAACCAAAAATGCTTAACAGATACTTTTAAAAGATTGGAAATACACATCATTCCCAAAATAGTTTTCAATTTATTTCAGCTGACCTTGGCTAGTACAGGAAGCTAAGTAGGGTCACTACTATTTTTCTCTCTTTGTGATTAATCACAGGCATATACATAATGGAAAGACATTGTAGCCTCCTATCTATCCATCTTAGTTTCACCACTATTTTTTTTTCTCCTTTTACTTTCATTCTATCACTGCACTTTGAGGGAAGGCAACCTTTCAGGCAAAAATACAATGATTTGGACTGAGCACAGCATTGATGAAGCAATTATTTATTTAGTGATACCTGTATTACAAAAAAGGTGGCCAATTATACCAAAGAAGTCCAGATTGTCCTGAAAGGGATTCTCAAGCCCATCTCAAATTATTTCATTTGTTTTGCTGTCCTGAATTATAAAAGCTAAGATTTATAATTGGCCAGATGTGCTACAGGAAACTAGATCGTGGAATGTTGTTTTATGGAGCCCTCATAAAAAGACAATGGGTATGTTGAGAATACTGGCTGTGTATGTTATCAAGGTGACAAGGTTCAACAAAATGAATCCACTTACCGGTACTATATTGAGATAAATGCAAATGTGAATGCACAAATGAGTATCAGCAAAAAGTACTATACAGTTGGTCCTCAGCTTAGAACAGTTTAATGACCATTACAAGGGCACTGAAAAAGTGACTAATGATCATTTTTTCACACTTACAACTGTTACAGCATCCCCACTGTCACGTGATCAAAATTCAGATGCTTGGCAATGACGGTTGCAGTGTCCCTGGGTCATGTGATCACCTACTGCAGGGGTTCTCAACCTTGGCAACTTTAAGACTTGTGGACTTCAACTCCCAGAATTCCTCAGCCAGTGCTGGCTGAGGAATTCTGGGAGTTGAAGTCCACAAGTCTTAAAGTTGCCAAGGTTGAGAACCCCTGACCTACTGGGACCTTCTGACAAGCAAAGTCAACAGGGAAGCCAGGTTCACTTAACAACCATTTTACTAACTTAACAATGCAGTGCTTCACTTAACAACTTTGGCAAGAGAGGTTGCAAAATGGGGCAAAACTCACTTAACTGTCTCATTTAGCAACAGAAATTTTGGCTCAATTGTGGTCATAAGTCAAGGACTACCTGTATAACTAAATGGGTGCAAATTCTAAGCAGCTCAACTTAATCAACTTCACACAACTCTTAAGTTTCCCCAAGTGCTCTAAACTAGCAATGCTTCTTCAAGCTCAATAATTCATACCGGGGTACTTTCCTGATGAGGTATTATGCATTTATAGAATTTTCTTGCCTACTTCAATAAGAAAAGGCTGTCAGACTGAACCACCTGTGCAATCTGTTCAGAGATGATTACCAAAGCTGAAGAAATTGTCTGGGCAGATCCATCTGAGGAAGTTCTCATAAAATGGAATTTAAGATACATTCACTGCATGTTTTCTAAGATTTTTCTGACCGTAACGTTTAAAAAAAAAAAAAAAGAATAACAAGACAGAAAAACATGCATATGTAACTAATTGCATGGTTCACACATGGTTTACTAATACATTTATTAGATATTTATTATCCATTACAGAAATAGCACAGCATTTTTTTAATTAGAAGGAATGGAACAAACAGCACCATTTCTTCTCTCTAAATGAGTATCTGGTGCCTATTAACTGAGTTACATACTTATGGCATGTTGACAGATTCATTCATATAAATGTGAATTCATGACCCTAGCCTAGAAGCTACTTCTCTTGAAAGTAGTTAAGTCCACATTTACATTACAATAAACCTTGCTTCTGTTTTGCTAAGAGTCGCTTGATAATGAAATGGGCAGCATATAAATAAATAAAATTTCCTGCACTTATCTTTCATTTAGTAATATAAACTAGACCAGCGGTTCTCAACCTGTGGGTCGGGACCCCATTTAGGGTTGAACGACCATTTCATGGGGTTGCCAAACAACGCAGTCCGCCATTTTCCCCTTTTCCTTAGCTGTGCTACTCCCTTTTATTCTATTGGCTTTTGAAAGCCAATAGAATAGACTCTCTTGAATAGAGTCTAATTCTATTGGCTTTCAAAAGCCAATAGGAATTGTCCAGGCTGTCTCTGCCCTCCCGAGCCTGCCAAAAGTCCCATTCTGCAAACACTGCTGCAAGTTGTCTGCAGCGAAGGCGAGCTGTCTGGAAGCTTCCACCCCTTCCTGCTGAGCAACTATTAAATGTAAGT